CCACCATCCAATTTCCGTCACAGGAAATACTGAATCAATTATTCCCAACAAATAAGTGTCGTAATGAGGGAAAGCTCATACAACTCTGTCTGTCTGATACATGTATCTGCTGATCAAAACTCCATGCAGTATTTCCTTCCTGCTTTGCCAGCCCCATTTATACTAAATCGGCTGATCCTGTGATATTTACCATGCATCAAAAAATGTCAGAGGAGTAATGAAGTGTATCAAAGTTGTAATAACCGTGTTTGACCTCCATCAAGCTGCTCTCATTCCACCATTGATTAATTGGTGTGCCTTCCATCATAATCATACTTGTTTTGAAGTAATCTGATCGCCCATTTGTAGAATCAGTGTTGTAAGGTTAGGTTAAATCCATTGACGTATAGTTGTAGCCTACCTACATGTACATGCACTGGTATATCAAATAATAATTACTCAGTGTTTTAGCCGAATGCAGTCGACAAGTCCAAATAAGTACAGGTAATTATCTTTTTGTTTTAGTTTTTCCTTAAACAAATTTAATGTCTCCTTCTTAAGCACCTTGGGGCCTCTTGGTTTCTGGAAGGGAGCACTCAGTAGGTTCAATCACAGTTAAAACACTGACCAGAGTTGTTTACCACCATATTTATTCCTTTCTGAGGGGAGTGGGGATACATAGGAAACACAGGGCTGCAGCATGGAGCCATGCCTTCATCCCTCTACCATTTCTGCCACTGTTCTATGGATGATTTCTGGTAAATATGTCGGGCGTAGGTTGATGGGAACATCTTGTCCGCATTAATCAGTTTGTTTCAGTTTAAAATGAGAAATACAATTAGTTTCATGTTAAATTCAAAGCTCGGTTATTTTCATATTCAAGAGTATTTCGTTTCTTACAGGATCAAAGAAAATGATTTTTTCTGAGACTCTCATTTTGTTCATTCAAGTTTGTTGACCCGGCCAATTTGGTGAATCTCATCCCTGTGAAGGGCACGCAATGTTGACTTCAATTCTATGAATATCTCAACCTTGCAACAACCTTGGATCAACAGTTGAAAGTTGAAACATAAAAGATCTGATTTTAAACATTTTATTCTGAGACATTATGTCAAATAAAAATTTGACAAATGACTCATTTTGTTTGATAACACCTCAGATATTTTCCTGTTCAAACTGCATGTGTTAACCTCTTTGGATGTGGCTGATGAGACCCATCTTGGTACACACATGTATACCAAAAACTACATTAACATGTAGTATGACATCAAAATACTATAAGCATCTATTTTACCAGTTGTGACGTATTGACTTAAAATTCAATAACTTGGATTATTTTAACTTAGAATTAATCCCACTTTCTGATAGAATCTATGAAATATTAAGGCAATTATTTGAAAATCAAAAGGTCTATTCTGTTAGTAAATGTACAGGTAGTCATTAAATTGCGTTACACAAAAGCCTTTCCAATTCTGTAGGTCCTTCTCAAAAAGAATGTCCCTGTATTTGCTACCTAACAAAGACATTTAGTGAGAAATTAAATTACAGTTATTTACATACATAAATTTGATTTAAATGAAAGGGCATAACCCAAATGTACTCACAGTCACAGTAGAGGGCTCCAAAATCTGCAAAATATATCAGGTCGTGTCACTGTGTTACTGCACTTTGGAACATCAAGATCTCCAAAACACAGAAAGATTGCTCAAATCAGAAGGGCAGACAAACTGCATTCATACTCCCTCAAAACTAGCTGCATGCAAGGCAATAAGTCTTTTTCAAAGATGGATTTACACCTGGGAGATGTAAATTATTTTGGATTTTGCCCTGCCCGACGTGTATTTTAACACTGTATACTCAGTGTGTATGCCCCCAAAGGCTTGTGAAAAAAACCCAAAACAAATAGCAATAAGTCTTGCTGTTTGGGCCATTGGATATTTTCTCATGAACGTTAATTCTGCTGCCCCCATTAACACAAACCTGGCATTGTCACACTGCCTTAGAAGGCTTCCTTTGAGAAAACAACTTCTGGGTTTCGTTAGACCAGAACCACTCAACCCCAGACTAACAAAGATATTACCTTGACTGACAGTGCCGACAAGCGGACATGTTCAAGTTGTCTCAACAGAAGAATGCAACATTGTGACAACATGCCTTAGCAACCTCACTCTTGAACCATCCTAATGCCAACTCTGTTTTGATTACCATACTTTTTTAAATAACTGCAAAAAGCTACCATGATCCCTTTGCGTATTTTTTTGCACTTGAAGCCATAGATGATGGGATTAATGACAGAATTGAAATAGTACAGAAAATCGAAGGTACTTTTGATGTACATGTACTTATAACCCATTGAAGTACAGAGAGGAAGCGATGCCTCATCTTTTACTCCCAGGCAGATTATGTTGAGTATAAAAACTGGTGTCCACAGGATTATTAGAGCTCCTTAGACAATTGTCAGCATTTTTACAAGGCGCTGTCTGGCAATCACAAGATCGTAGGCTGCTGCCCTTGCATGCTGCAGGTTCAGGGCTTTTGCTTGTCTTTTGAGAGTGACTTGCATCTTGTAGTAGGCCAAACTCATCAGGGTTATAGGGAGAATGTAGCAAGAAAAAGTCGACCCAACTGTCAGTCCAACTCGGAATGCTTCACTTGGGTATTTCGATCCTTTGCAAATTTTGACCAAGTCATCGCTGCGCTCATTAGTGAAGAGGAACGGCAGAGCAAAAACAAATGACATTGCCCAGATTAGCACAATCAGAGCCTTCATCCGTGTTTTTGTGAGTTTCCTGGCATACTGGACTGGGTAAACTATGCCGACTTATCTCTCAAGTGTGACGACACAGAGGTTGTATGCTGATGCATAGGACAAAGCCCATGACAAAAACATTGATGCTAAAATTCGGCAAAACAGTTCCCTTCCACCAGAGCTTGCCGGCCAAACAACCAATGCACAGTCCGAAGAAGTGGGGTGAAAGAAGAACATTTGAAGACACAGCAGCAAATCTGCCACTGCTAAATTCACCAGCAGATAGTTTGTCATGTCATGCAGGAATTTGACGTGTAGAATGGCGAAGCACATCAGGAGGTTTCCTAACACACGAACAACTCCTTCCACTGCCATGACATAACAGATCCACTTGCCTGCAGAATCTTCCTCATCATTGATTTGCTGAGTTGAATTCATGGCTGAATGTTGAATGTTCTTGTTGGTAGTCTTTACTGTCTGTTTTTGGTATGCACGGCCCCACCTCTGGTTACAGATGACTAGCCAATGTACATTTTTGTACATGTAGCTGTATATCTAATCTTTTGAATGGACAAAAAAAGTTACCACCCAAAACTGGTACATATTCAACTGTCCCAAGACAAGACAATTGCTAGCCTGCTCAGCTGTAACAATGATCATAAGCTGCTCTACAGCTGTTCTGATTGCATGCTGCCATTTCACATTTTCTGTCGGCCTCTTGAGAGTGACTTGCGTCTTGTACTTGGTCAACTTCAATGCTAGGCCTTCAGTGTTCATCAGTCAAACTTTATCATTCGCTGCTTGCTGTGAGTGAAGCTTACATGCAAATGTACCTATATGCCCTTACACCATGTTAAAAACCAGCCTTCTAAAATGGTATCTTTCTGTAACCTCCCCCTAAATAATTCAAGCGCCTCAGTGCACAGGTACATGTACAGCTGCTTAATGCAGACCCCAACAATTGCCAATATGTAAGTTTCAGTCAGCTAGTATATACTATGTAAGAATGCTGGGCAGAGTACTATGCTTGATACTGCATCGCCATTTATTTTTCATGGGGCACCCTTGTGTCCCAGTTCATCTTAGGATGAAGATGATAAAGCTACTGAGTGTTGACTAGAACGAGCAGGATATTACAGACATGTCACGCCCTGGCCATAAGCATACCTCATTAATTTGATCAGTGCATCCAATTAATCTGATAATGAAACGTTATTTTAGACTGTAAAGGAGGCAGATTGTAAGCCAATGTACTTCTTATAAATGTCTTTCTTGACTTGGCTCTACTTATCAAATGTCTCTCTGCTAGTAATGGATAGAAGTACTGTGGAGATTTTTGTAATAAAATAACTTGGGCTTGGTGATTTTGTGGATGGCCATGCAAAGATTTTGTTTTCGTTCTCGGGCACAAATCACATGCAATTTTGTCCTAAACTTGAAAACATGGTGTTGAAAAGTACGCTTTTATTTTACACTTTTAAATTTTAAAATCAATTGTTTTAATTTTTTCTGCTTGATGGGGCACTATTATTGTGTTATCATTCCAAGAAAAACTATTCATTTGGGGGTTGCTGTTCAAGTTGTGGACCAAAACATTTGAAAATATTTCTGGAGAAAAAATACAAGAAACGCTTACTGTCCAGATGTCAAATAAACTCAGTTGCCAAAGAAACAGAAATTCAAGACAGAAAAGTGTCGCAAAAGTTGGCAAAGTTTGATGCCAAAAACAACTAACATCGAGGTGCATGGTAAACTTTTTGCTCGTGAGCATTGGAAATTGCATTAGCATAAGACCACAAATGTTTCACAGTAGCTGGATGGGAGGGGACAGTAAGATAAAAGGGAAAATAACACAAGAACTATGTAGCCCTTGTCTATTGGGTTCAAGCAAAGAGGATAGTCGTGTAAGTTGATGTCTACTTTTAAGACAGGTGTGAGCATTCTACTCGACCCTCTGTAGGAAGCACAAGATTCAATGTACTTGTTGGCTGCTGCCCTCACACACTGCAGGTTCAAGGCTGAGCTTGTCTAGTCACAATTATATACAAGCGGCTATGAAAAAGATAAGCTTAGAAAAAAATTAGAGAAAACTCAGTGAGTGTGCCACACTCTACTAAGCTTTGTCAAAAAGAGCTTGTGTAGCTTGTGCTTGGACGTTACAAATGCAAGACTATTAGTTTCAAGATGGACAGGTGGCTGAAATGTAGGACCAAATTTTCTTGAATTGGTTACATGTTACGTCACCTGTTTTTATATTTGATTCCTCACACAGTATCAGATGTGGACAAGAATTTGATCATATACCACTATCACCCTGGAGGTAAGAATCATAACAGATGGAGCATTTTTATTTTTTGGGTATAGGTTTCGGGTAACTTCTCAGAGCTCAGGTGTAATTGGTAGTGCCAGCTTTCTCTCAGGTTCATTTTTTTAAAAGCTGATTGACATGCCAAGTAAGCAAGACTCCTCTGAATCCCCAAATTCTAATCACATCACTTGGTATTTGTGGGGCGAAATTCTTACCTCTATCGCTATGGAGTTTCCAAAGTCGGGGGTGTATTAACGGTGTTGTGTTCAAGTCCATCACAAATCCCTGTAAGCCCATCACAAGTCTATCACAAGTCATTTAGTCTTAAGCCAATTCACAAGCTGTTCAAATGAGCTGTGACAAAAGCATTATTGTGTCATTGTTCACGTTGTAACTTATGACTGTCCTTGTGACTGGACTTATGAAGGGACTAGTGAAGTGAAAGGACTTGTGATGGACTCAAATACAGCACTGTCTATTAAAATTATGATGAAATCAGCCTATGACAATCAGAATGTTGTCGAGAAAAGAGACTCAGGCAAGGTTCGCATAATAGCCACAGACTTGAACCCACCTCTGCATGAATAAATCTTAAATAGGGAATGGAAGGCTACAAGGTTTATGAAGGAACAGTAGTTGGTGCTCATCCACATTTCCATGTGCATCGCCCAGATTTTTTTCCTAGATGGAGGACATTTTAGGGGTGGAAGGAAAGGTCTCATCATCAAACTGATAAATTCTTTACTGTTGATGCAGGTGAATTCCTGACTGTTTTCAAGCAAATTGATAATGTTTGTCCTTTTGTCCTTTCTCTTGTTTGTTTTCTTTTCTTTCCCCCTTTTATTTTTCTCTCAGTAGGGGTTAAGGGGGATCCTTTGGGGGTCCCCCCCCATTACTATAACACCCATGCACTTTCCACTTCATATGGCTTTGTACATATTTTTCTTTGCAGGTAATAAAATTCTGCATGATTTATTTTAGTAGTAAAATGGAAGGACTGAGTAATGTTAGGGTTAAATTTTCATAAAATGCAGATACAATAGAATCTTACAGGTGTCTGAGGTTTGTTTTGTTAATTCAAGTTTTGATTCACTGTGTCTATCCATAGAGCATTTGAATCACTTTGTGGATTTTTTTTGTCAGCTCGTGAGAGCTGTGGAGGGACCAGGCTGCTCCGCCGCGGTGACATCAACGTTGGCAGTCACATCAACTCATTTGTGCGTGTGCGGTGCAAGCTGAGTGACCCAGCATCCAGTAAGCCAATCACAGGGCCAGCTGAGAGAAGACATGTAGTTTATTATGGTAAGCTCCCCTTGATAAACAATTGATTTCAATTGTACTTTTTTCTTTTAGTGTAGAATTTAGACTGGCCGGATCACACCTAACTTATATGCAGCCACTGAGAAATCGGAGGGGGGGAAGGGGCCGTGATTCCCCTTCCATCAGAGAAGCAGCAGTTTGTGGGTTTTGAAAATAAATGAAAGGCAAGTTTTATGAGCGTTTGTTGCCCTTCCTTCCAAAATGTGTCAGAAGCCCCCAAAATTTGACCTCACCGCTAAGAAAGACCCTTACAGATTACGTACAGAAATTTCCAAATTTTTTGTCTCCCCAAACCTATTGTGCCCTCAGGGGAAAAAATTTGGTTCTGGATCTGCCCTTGTTAACAGCTGTACAGAACTAGCTCCTGATACAACCCATGAATCGAGAGACCTTGTTTCTCTTTATTCTGTTTTCTGAATCGCAGCATCTCTAGATGGCAGCCTTGGCATGCTTCTACCTATGACTGAGAAGACTTACAGGCGCCTGCTGATGTTGCAGAATGCCATTACAACCAGCATCATGCACATTGGAGGACTAAACCCCAAAGCGCACAGGTGAATATCAACACAACATGTTAACAAAAGAAAAAACTTCTAGCCAGGTTTCACTTGGTTGAGTTGTTCTGTGGGAAATTATGCCCAGTGGTTATATTTTGTGACCCGTGCATGGCCCTGTCAAAAGGATGAGGAGTTTTAATTCAGGGCAAGGTTGATCAAGGACCGTAGTTAACCACAGTTGGAGCAACTCTGATTGAGCACACGCTGGTCGACAATGATTGGACTAGTCTTGTCAACTATTCACAAGTAGCCTATCACTTATTTTTGCTATTTTGCCCTCCCTGTGGCAACCTGGGGGCATTTGCACTTCAACTTCACTGCACATGCGCGAGGTACGTCACGAATCAACCACTAGTTAAACTAGTGGTCCTTGATCTAACCTGCCCACTGCTTGTCAGGTTTTCCTTTCTTGAGCAATCCCCTTACCCCAGCATAGCACTTTCCACCACTGATAAGTGTAATGGTAAACCTGCTACAAAGTGACACAGCTAATAAAGATAGTCTTTGAAATAATCTTTGCTTTTCTAATAAACACTTTCTTAATGAGCTTGATTCCTTACAGTATTTCCTGAGCCTCATTTCTGTTGCAAGTTGTTGCTCAGCAAAGTCTTAACAGCGTAAAAGAAAATGCACTAACAAGTGCATACATGTATATACATGTAATTTACTTCTTAAAAGGGGTTGCTCCAAAGTAATGGCGTGATGTTTAATAGTACTATCACCCCCTGAAGCACTCGTACATTATGCTTCCAAAATCTTTTCCACAGTCTGAATGATTAAGTTGTGACCAAGTCCTCACGAGGCATTGCAAGCCAATCATGTCATTTGTCATATTTCACAAACTGGCTGGTTAAATATAAACCATGATATTACTCTGCCATTTTGCACAACCTGGATTCTTAATTACTTGTGACCTGACTTAAAAAGCTACTGTAACTTCTAATTGAGCTTGTATCTGACTTGTGACTTGACTATAACTCTGCATAGTTATCAACTGGAAAAGCAAAGTTTGCCCTCAGGAATTTGACAGTTGAGGTAGCTGGAAGGATTCCGCAAATAACGCAGGTTTAAGTTGGGCTACTTGCAATCAAAAAAGCACTTTCTTTTCTCTTTTTTCTAAACTCTAGGCACATTGTGTCCCACCAGCGTGAGCTCAGCAATCCCCATCGCAACATTCTGGATGGGGATCTGTTGTACAAGTACACCTACCTGAGTGTGGTTGAGAAAAATGAGCTGGCAAAAAGGATCGGCACCACAGTGGACCAGGTATGAAGTAGACCTAATCTGCTTCCTCCTTTCCATGTCAGAGCTCTGGTTTTCCCATTCTAAGTAGCCACAATGTCTGTGAGCCAAAAAGCTGTCTCCCTGAAGAAAGATTTTACCACCAACTTTTGCCAAGCCATTTGACTGTTTATACTCATTCAGCTGTTTATGAAGCAGCTGTTGCCCTGTTCAAGGGTTTAAAAGAGCCAAAGTAAGGCAAATTTGAAATCACAGGTACATGCAGTTTTCAGAAAATTTGCTCGAGCTGTAAAGTGGTCAGCTTTTGCGAATTCCAAGTTACAATATGTGACCTGACATGACAAAATTGGGCCTATGTTCGCTTTCATGTTAACTATGAACCAGCTAATTTAATTTGAAATTGTGAATAATGGAATGCCCTTCAGATTGACATGGAAACTCTATATGTGTAGCTTTCCTGCACTGAGTTAGAGGAAATGGAGTATTCCTACAAGGAGCTAGTGTTATTGAAGTGTTGTGAAGCAAGGAAAGGTTCTTAAAGGAATGTGCCCCCCAACAATTTTTGTTCTTGTAGGCAAATCTCTTTTCTTATAAGTGAAATCCTGCAGGTTTGAGCCCCCCCCAAAAAAACCAGAAGCTATCACAACCATTACTAATTGGTGTAAGATTTTTGCCTATCCAATACCTAAAACATACCCCTGTCCCGGTGTTGGAGATGTCAAACCTTCAACTTGTTTAAATGTCAAGCAGTCAGTGAATTGTTGGAAATTTGTTTGCTGTGGTAGGGCCTACTACTTATCATCATATGGTAACAGCACCATGCATTACTTATCATTAGATGCCTTTTTGTGAGCCAGTTCAATATGTGAAAAGGACAGCACATTTGTAAACAATACATGCGTAAGTGTCTGTATGGCTACGCTGATGGGCTGACCTATGCTCACAAATGTCATGTTGCTATTCCAGAATGGCCTCCAGCATGCTCCATTTGGGGCATGCATTGCCAACTCACTTGAGAAACCTGTCTGTCACACACAGTGTTCAGGCCAAAAAACAAAATACTTTGTCTCTGGTCAGACTGATTAATTGATGCAGTGACAGGTTTTTTTTTCTCCTCCAGGGTTGGATTATGCAAAAATACATTGTCGAGTTATGGGACTAGACCAAATTTATTATGATTAAAAGTTGACAACAGACAATTTTGTATTCATACATGTAGTCTGCTATCATTGTTAAACATCGATCTCATTGGGATCTATCACCCTGAGTAACAGATTGAGCTGCCCACAAAAATGTTCAGGCAGTCCAGCAATAGAGGGCTCTGTGGCAGCTCATGCAGAGAAAAGAAAAAAATGATGTGCGTGCTTGAAATTGACACCTGTACTGACCAGAAACAAAAGACTTTTTTTCGGCCTGAAGGATGTATGGTACTTGGACTTGAAAGAAATGATTTTTCTGATTGTATCTTCCTTTGCAGATCATGGATGACTTGATGGATGTGGAGAGATTAACAACACACTTTTAAGTGGAGAGACTGATGAGGAATTGAAAACTCTGCAGATGCGATACATGCAGATATCACCCCTGGCATAGAAATGTAGTGTTTTAATTTAATCCTTTGGAGGGAAACTGTTGTGAGCTTAGCCTTTTTCCCTGTGTACCCTGATAACAGAATGACAATGTGGTGCTTATTTAGTGCACAATGCATTTTATAAGTTAATTATTATGCAGAGACTGTAGGCTGTTACGTTGGACAAAAGCTAGACTGAAAGTTACTAGCGATACCAAAAGTCGACAGACAAGTTGTCTTCTGTTAATGCTTACTGGCACAAAATCAACCAGTGTGTACATGTGGTTCTGAGGGTGCAGTTAAATGCAGCCAAATTCACCAGCAATTAGGAAAGTCATATTGTGTAGAAATTTGACGAGTGGAATGACAAAGCACACCGACCACTCCTTCTGCCAGTGTGTGACAGACCCACTTGTCTCCTTTTGGCTCCCGATAGTTACAAGTTGTTCAGTTGAATTCATGACTCGATCTTCTTTTTCATTTGTTTCATTAAAAGAGCATTGAAGATGATGCTTTCGTGTTGTTTAATTATAGCAATACGTTTTGCCTTAGATGATGGCAGCTCTATGCATCAGCATCACGTGAGATGACAGATGTGTTTAAGTAATGATTCGGTTTTCTGTTGTCGTCGCCCTTTCTCCGTAATTACTCATTGTTTCCCTTTATCTTGATACATCAGATTCCGAGTGTGGATTTTATGGTCCACAGTAGAGTTACCATGGTAGTAGAAATCTCTGCCGAATGCCTTTTAACAGGGGAGCATCCAATTATTCCCCAGGATATCATAATGGCAGTAGGAGTATTGTGGTTGTTCTCCCTAGGGCGCTGGGCTATACTTGTCGGGGCAACATTGTATTTTGCGACTAATAAAACAACAAGCATTGTTTTCCCCGCAACCATTGTTTTTTATGACCCATCATGTTATCAGTTTTCCTCAATGTGGGCCACTGGCCAGTCACGGTGCTCAATTGTCACGCACGATGTTACTCTGTAAAAATCCTTATCTTTTTCTGAGTAATTTTTCCTTACTGTACGCTACCGTTGCCGTTGAGTTTATTATGGCTTCAAATAGATTAATAGCAGCAGGTCACGTGCAGCTGCACGTCTACTTTTTTTAGTTTTGATGCACCCACATTAGTGTTACAAAGCACTTCGAATGTGTACCTCTACTCAACATGGAGTGATTGTTTGCTTAATAAAACAGTCCATTCGAGGATTGGGCAAAGTTTTGTTATCCAATAACTCTGCTATTATTTGCCACATTCTCTGTTGTCCTTTTTATTCATGGTTGAATTTAATTTATGAATGGGGATCGCCAGAACAGTAAACATAGCTATATATTTTACATAGCCTATGAGCTAAAAGTTTGGCTGATTTATGCAGGCTTTGCAATCATACTGGATTGACCGAACATGACATAGTACTAACACTTTACATTATTATACATTCAAATCAATAAAATAAAACAAAAACGTTCAAGTAAGAAGAAACACCAAAAATTTGATAGATATAATTTGCCACTGTTAATACCAATCTTGTCTCTTGATGTAAAACCTTCGACCAAATTTACCCCAAGGGTGAGGTAGCGGTTTGCCCGTGGTTTTTAGGAACGGTACCTTTCCTGAAATTACCGTCTGTGCCCGATGTTTTATAGGTACAAGTATTTTATGTCTGTATGGCTATCATTGCCATCTTTGGAATCCTTGGAATCATTGTAGCGTGTTCTCAATGCACTCCACATTCCGTGATGTATGCAGCGGATATTACCATGCATACCGACAATCCATCATTCCTGTGATGAGTCTAAAATCTTTTGAGGTGGCCGCTGAGTTAGCTTCATAAAGTTAGGCATCTTTTTAAAATTAAGAGGTTTGGTTCAGACTCTTAGACAAGATCAAATTATTTTGTGAACATTGTAAAACAACGACGTTAGGCTATGATCAGTTTTCCCATTTCATTTGACATATTCATTCGATACATTAAAAAGATTGTACTGTGCAAAAATAATAATGGTACCAACCATCTCTCAATAGAGAAGACTGTGACATTACGGACCAAGTAGCAATGTGCAAACTCGTGCGTTAAATGTTTTCACAGATTTCTGACATTCAAAGATTTAGTTTGGAGTCAGGTAGCATGCCAAGCTAGCATCAAAAATAAATGCTGAACTTATTGATATTTTTGGTGCACACACGTTTATTTCATCATTGCCTTAAAAAGACACATAGGTATGACAGAAATGCTCGTTATTAGATTCAAAATGCATTTTACAATTAAATCACGTGGGACAATTAATATGAACAGTTGAGCATAAAATAGAGGGCAGCATATAAGTTGGTGGCTCGGACGTGTATAATAAAATCTGGACTCGCAACGCCAATCAGCTTATAGAGATCATTGAATCCACTCGCGGCCATTTTACCGAGCCTAACTCAAAGCTTTCCTGGCAATGCCCACCTTCGTTCTTCCTGACGTCAATAGAGGGGAGCCAACCCACGCCTTTGTATTCGTCTCGGTAAAATGGCCGCTGGTTGTCTTCCTCTTCATACAAAGGCGTTGCAAGTCCAGGTTTTTATATACGTCCGTGATTAGTGGGTGAAGCTAAGAGGGTTTGTACCCCGACCTGGGACTGACAAGAACAAGGACAATTGACCTTTTTCACCGACGTGACTGGATTGCGCTTGATGTAAACAAAACCACCACGTGTGGACCGCCGTGGCCATGCTGATCGCATATGTTCCTACGGGCAGCTTCAACCACGTGCAAGCGCATGTGGTTTGAAGCTGCCCGTAGGAACGTGCAAGCGCATGTGGTTGAAGCGCATACTTGACTAGTTTATCTTGAATAGGTAGATTACCATCACAACGCATTGCGGTCCACCATGATTGTGACATCTCAGAAAAAGGTCTTTACAAACATTAGATATACAGCAATTAGACAAGACTTCTCCCCGGCTGAATCCATCTATCTGATGGGTACATTGTATAAGAATTTAAGAGATAAAAATCAGTACCCTCCCTTTACAGAATTTTGCTGTGTAAAGACTTGGGAAAACGCCACAATAGTGCGTCACGTAGCAAACATACACACCCACACAAACGCACCCACACAAACAATGGCCGTAAGTGTTTAAATAAATATGAACGCCGAATAACAGTATCTCTGAAGCAGCCGAGTGGTTAAGCTCACGACCATTGGATCGTTAGACGGTGGGTTCGAATCCTAGGGGTGTCTTTTTATTTTTCCGAAGCTTGACGTCGGTCAGTTGCTATAAGAGACTCTAATTCACCCCGTCAAATACCATCAGTACCTTAGCCAACCGGGTAAGCTCTTCTGTTGGGACTGTCCGCGAAGTCCAGGTGAGCGCCTAAGTACAGGTTCGAGACATGTGGCCGACTCGGCGGCCAGGGCTTAGGGGCCTGTCTCGTTTCCTCCCTTGCATGGTCGCTCAAATCCTTTTTAGGGTTAAATGGATGGGCAGGGAGGAAGTGCGGTGGGCCGGGAACCCC